GCAGCTGCATGGCAAAATACCTCAATAAAAAGTTTTTTGTTTTTCCTCGGCCATGTTAAGATTAATTGGGAATCATTCTAGGCTGAGTTCTGAATGTGAATATGAAATAGACGGCTCTCTTAGACTGGAGGACTGACAGACACATGGAGGACTTTGGGTAGTATTCCCTTATGTGAGTCAGCCATTATACTTCCGTTGGTCATTGAGACTTTCCTCACACATGGGGAAGCCAGAGGCAGGGCAGGTGTAGAGGAGGGGAGTAGAGGAGGGGACTGGGTCTGACAGTGTAAGCAGGGGAACCTTCCTGGAAGAGGCAATGCCTGAGCAATGTAACAGAGGGTCTAAGGATCCTAAGCCCAGCTCCATCCCCACAAGCCCTGTGGTTTGGGGCTAGTTACTTAACTTCCCTAAACACCGGGTTGCCTCACCTACAACTAGAGTGATAGTATTTGGCTCACAGTTTGGTACCCCTGGGCTTTCAGGAAATTGCACCATCCTCCTCTTTTTCCATTCCCCTCTCCTTCCGCTTTAGTGTCTATACTCGAATGTGGGGGGTTGCCTGTTTGAGTTTCAGTTTACACTCTCTCCCTTGGTCACCTTGCCTGCAGGCCTGTCTCATGCAGGCTCCGACTTAGTCTCCCGGTATGCTCATCTCACACTCTATATGTGCACACGGATCCCTGGCAGTTTACATTCAGCCAATGTGCAACTAAATTTGTTATTTCTTCCCTAAACTCCCTCTTGACTCTGGAATGGATAGTTCTTCTAAATAGGGCCCCTGGTCTCACAGACACCAAACCTCTGAGTCATCCTTAACGCTTTTTCTCCCCACTTGTTCCTTATCTAATCACTCAGCAAATTCTGTGGATTCCTCCTTCAAAACTTCTTCCATCAGAACAGACAGGAACACTTATGTGGTTATAGTAATTGTGTCAGGGGTTTTGTAGGGTAACAAGACTGTTTCTTTATTATAGATTTATTCATCTGAAAACTAAAATTAAAGACATTTCCATTCTCCAAACTTAACAGCCTGAACTATTGCACAGTTAGGGAAATTGGGTCTTTCCTGACAGAGTTGCTCCCACGGCAGCATCTTGCACACAACTTCCAAGCCAACCTTGGGCTTCCCTGCTTAAGATCTTCAACAGTCCCTCAGTGCTTCCAAGTCGCAGAAAAGGAAGAAGACTCGTGTTTAAAGCTCTCACACCTCTTCGCAACCTATCTCTCAGCCTCTTCAACCCTTTCTTCCATTGCTCTAGTTGGCTCCCCTACGCCTCTAAATATTCTTGGAATCAACTAACATTTTCCTGACTGTGAACACGTGCTCATACCATTCTTTTTTTTTTTTTTTTAAGATTTTTATTTATTTGTTTGACAGAGAGAGACACAGCGAGAGAGGGAACACAAGCAGGGGGAGTGGGAGAGGGAGAAGCAGGCTTTCCCGCTGAG